CTCGATACAGATTGGGAACATAGTCACTAGCATAACTTAAAAGCATGAAACTGTTAAGGTAGAGAGTATTATGAGAGAAAGGAGAGAGCTATGGGCAGCTCAATTTTGGACATTTGTTTTGAGGAGGCAGGTAATGAAAGAAGAACCAGAGCAGAAGAAAGAAAGAAAAAATGCTCCCAAAGCAAGAAAGAAAACCAGAAGAATACAATGTCATAAAACCAACAATGGAAAGTTTCAATAAAAAAGGACTTAGCTAACAGTGTTGAATGCTTCAGTGAGCTCCAGAAGAATGATAGGAAAAGGGTCACTAGAATTGATGGCAAATTATTGATTTTTAAGAAAGCTGTTTCTGGGGCCAGCCTGGTGGCGCACTGGAGAGTGCGCCGCTTGGGAGCGTGGCGGCGCTCCCACCGAGGGTTCGGATCCCATGTGGAGACTGGTTCCCGCTCACTGGCTGAGCGAGGTGCGGGCGCAACACCGAGGGTTGCGATCCCATTACCGGTCAGTAAAAAAGACAAAAAGGAAAAAAAAAAAAAGAAAGCTGTTTCTGGAGAAGAAGCCAAGCATTTTAATAGGTTAATGAGTAAGTCAGGGAGTGGTACAGGAAAAAAAAGCCCTTCACTGGGAACCAGAGGGCCTAAGTTCCAGCTTGGTCCTACTGTTAAGTAGCCATATGACCTTTTAACTTTTATTAAACTGTTTCCTAGTCCTCAAAATTCTATGAAATCTCTTCCAACTCTCATTTTCAGAGATTCATGCAAGCTACCCATGTGCCTAAACCATACAGACATATTGACCTATAAATCTTTTTCAGAAACAGTCCAATTTCATTACTTGTAACGTGTAAAAGTGAGTCACTTTCTTAGTGTTTCCTAATGTAGAGAAAGTCTTAGAAAATTTCCTCAAAGCAAACTAAGTTGATGAGGTCCCTTCCTCCAGCCTCCTCCCACCCCTAGTCTACTACCATTTATTTTTAAAAACTGAGCTAAGACATTATCCCTGGTTTATCTAGCAACTTGTTTTACTGCTTGAAACCAGAGCATGAGACCAAAACCTTGTTTTGTTTGTTGAAATCAGTTGAGTAATATTAGCAACCAATTCTTCCAAATCATGGCTCTCCAGCCACTTGTATACTTGTACAGGAACACTTCCAGAAACTCAGTGTCTCGGCCGGCCCGGTGGTGCACTGCTACAGTGCGCCGCTTGGGAGCATGACGGCGCTCCCGCCGAGGGTTCGGATCCCACATACAGACCGGTTCCCACTCACTGGCTGAGCGAGGTGTGGGTGCAACACTGAGGGTTGCGATCCCATTGCCGGTCCCGGCCCGGTACGGGCACGACACTGAGGGTTGCGATCCGTTGCCGGACACGAAAAAAGACAAAAAGGAAAAAAAAAAAAAAAAAAAAGAAACTCTGTGTCTCACATGTCATCCTTCTAAAATTAAACCAGAAATATGTTATTCAAGAAGAACCCAGATGCACTGAAGAAAGAACATTTGCTTTATGTGAGAGCTTCGATC